AATGAATATAATGTTTACCAATTATGAGTTTGAATGAATTTTAAAATCTGATGATGGCGCTGTTGTCTCGCCGAAACGTAACGAAATAAACGATATTCAAATTTTTGCTTCACACTGTGACTGGAGCCCAGGAAAGAAAATAATATAATAACAATTACACGCACTCAGGAAAATAAATCAAAATTATTAAGCAATCTGGACCTCATGATTGCAAACTGGTATGGGAGAATCCCTGGTCTGAAGTACTTTCGTGCAGTCTAGAACCATTTCAGCTTCAAAACAATTCGCCTGGATAATTCGGGAAATTCTTCCAGATTCCTCCAGTCCAGGCCTGACCCCGCTGACTCCGGGCTACGCATCACCCCGCCTCTCTGAAGACTCCGGACGCGAATCCGGTGGCGCCGTCAGCCAATCAGGGCGCAAGAAGAGATCGCGTGCAGCGTTCACGCACGCTCAAGTGTTCGAATTGGAGCGCCGATTCAGCCAGCAACGATATCTAAGCGGGCCTGAACGAGCCGATTTGGCTGCTGCCCTCAAATTAACCGAAACCCAAGTAAGACTACGTTTTTTTTGATAAATTTACCCGCTCATCCTGCGGAATTCTTGCAATTAAGACACATTTCCACCTGCTATCGCCTGGAAAACCTCTGAAAAAATCTTGTCGTTTGCAGGTGAAAATCTGGTACCAAAACCGTCGCTACAAAACCAAGCGGAAACAGCTGCAGTTGCAGGAAACCAGCCTGATGAGTTCGAATGCGCGCAAAGTGGCAGTCAAAGTGCTGGTCAAAGACGACATGCCGATTTTCCTGCAGCAGAAGCCGCCGTTGTATCAGAAGGCCTACTATACTGAGCCCAAGAGCGACTTCTTCGTCTACGATCAGCTGAGCAAGAGCATGGTGCAGAAGTATCCGAAAACTCTGCAGGAATCCATGCTGAATCTGTGCCAGCAGTACTCGAACTCGATGCAACTGTTTCCCTACTTCAACTACTACCATCCCTCTTTGATTGGCAATCTGAGCCAGCAGGACGACGATGTCGGGGAGTGTCGCGAACAGAATTAGAGCTAGCTGATGTTTTTAAGCAATAATGAAGAACTGCCCTGAGTGAAGTCTTCTTCAAACTAGAGGAACTAGAGTTTGGGACAAGATGTCCAGGTCTACCTAAATCGATCTGTTCGTGCTAGAAGCTTCTTGTTAGGGAGCACCTTGAAAATTACACATGTGCACATCAAGAAAAACTAGTTTTAATTAAATTGTCCTTTGTATTCGCTCTCTCTTGTGATAAACTAGTTTAATGTAAATTTCCTTCTAGAACGTAGTTTCCTTAGTGGTGTTTTGGGTCTGCAAACCTTTTCAATCCCCTCCCCTAGTGGCAGCGGATTTTCCTCCAAACACTTAGAAGTCACGTTTTTTTGGTCTAGCGACGTTTGTAAAATAGTGTAAATATGGCGAACAATATTTATTTGTTATTATAGTTTGTGCAATAAATACTGTAAAATGGCCTTATGGGAGTTTCATTTCGAGCTGGAATGGTTCTGCTTACAGAACTGAGCTTTAGAAGACTTGCATGTAAACTATCGGATCATCAACATCACAATAAAAGAACTATATGCAGATGACAGAGCACATATAAAACAAGGAGCTCATTTGTCCAACCGAAGCACTGAGACACGCGAGTCCTAAAAGAGTGGGGAAAAAAGTTTCGCATATGACCAGGTGGTGTTTGCCCAGGATTCGCATGATCAACAATAGAACAAGTTGCAAAGGATAAAAAAGAGAGGATCAAAATGATTTTGAGAGAGGCAACCCCAGAAGATCATGGGATGAGGGCATGTTTTAGATCATGAATGATCACGCTACAAACGTTATTAGACGACCCATTAAGTTCAAGTAAACTACTAGTTTAAACACAGATTAATATGGGTGTAAAAATGATGTCTGCGTGGGGTGGATGGAGCAGCAGCACCCTCCTCTATAAGCCGGTCTTAATTAAACATCCAGTAATTCAGCTGAACTGTTTACCCAAACGTGTGAGTGTTACCATGTGCTCAACACTTGACTAGAGAACTTAATATGATTTTATAAATATTTATGAGAGGTCCACTATTAAGGTTCTTATGTGCGGATAACAAAAATAGACGCACGTTGAAGCCGCCGGTCGCAGTAGATCGATTTTTTTTCACTTTTCTAAGGGAAACTCGTGCGTTTATTGACCAGAACTATTAACGTCAATTTTGCGGACGGCCACAAATAGTAATTGAGTAAATATTGGACTCTCCGAGCACTTGATGCTTTTAACTTATCGAAGCATCATCAAGATTGACTTTGTTTACAGGCCACCGCTGAGCCGGAATCGAACCCCTAACAGCCTTTTATCCTATCCAAACAGCAGCAAGTGAAATGACGTGTAATTCGAGTCTGATGAGGAAAAGAGCATTATAAATAGACAATAATTGATTTCGGGTTGAAATTGGCATTGTCTTCGAGCCTACAGAAGTTTCACTGAAGTTCACTCATCAATCAAGGCTTTTGACCGTAAACCAGCCAAAGAAAGATCCCAATTATTCCTGCCGGTTGAGCGGGACGACGGTTTCAATCCAGAACAGGAATTTCTATTAAAATAGACTTCGACTGGCTTGTTGGGTAATAAAACCGTCAATTAAATGGTCAAATTGTTTGGCTGAGCGGTGCACGTTATGCGTGTTCGGCTCAAAGATAAAGCGTTCGAATAAACATTTACAGGGAATCCAGTGAAAGGCGCGGTCATTTAAACCATCCAGACAATCAGCCACATCCCAGATCCATTTAAACGTCTTATTAATACATCTAGCCAGTGGCGTGCGTATTTAAACATCCGAAATTTTCCTCGATTTTTACTGGCAAAGTTTCGTTGGAATCCTTTTGCGCTTGCACTCTGGTCACCATCATTCCACTTATGTTGCACAGTCCAGCCGCTCAAAGATTTTTGAGACGAAATGTTCTCTTTGCAATGCCAACTAGTGGGAGGAAGGAAATGTTCAATCCATCCAATCGCTACGCCTGTGTGAAACGGCAATAATAAAACTATAGGTCTGTTTACCTTGCAGTAAAAACAACCCGTCACTCATGTGTCTTTGCTACTGTGCACTCTTCTAATAAAAGGATGAAATAATAAACTCTCAACGGGGAGTCATCAGAATGTGTTTTAATGGACAGAGCTTTTAACATCAATCGGATATTACGTAAAATTTGTTCAAATGGATGCTGATTTGCGCTAATGACTCAACGTCGCTGGATTGAAACCGCTGCCTTCGGATATTCATATGTTTGAAA